TGGACAAGTCAACTCTGACAATTAATATTATTGATTCTTAGAAATAAAAATCGAGATAATTAAACCTTTTTTATAACAAAGAATGGAAAGAAAATATTTTTCAAATGTGTGATAACCAATTTAAAGATATTTTTAGGATGTTTTATAATTACATTGATATTCTATATAGTAATCTTGTCAGCGATGTTTTATTAAAAGATTAAAAACACACTCTTGTTATATATTCTCATTATAACTCACGCTTTTTTATAGAAAAATAAGAAGATTTTTTGATTTGCCAAAAATAACAGTTTATGGTTATATAAAAGAGATGATAACTATTATACATAAAGAAGCTTTGACAAATTTTTTTTTCCAAAACAAGAAAAATTTGATGTATTTTCAGAAGGTTTTTTTAAATATAGAAATTTAAACAGTGCTGTTTTATCTATAGATGAAACAAGAATTAAATGTTTTAAGCCTAAAAAGAATGGGATTTAATTTTTAAAACAGATACCTTTCATTTTCTATGACATTAATCTGTGTTATAAATTTTAAAATGAGGTTTAAATGTGTATGTTATGGCTTGAAAGTAGCTATGATTCTTTAGTTTAAAAGGTTTCGAATCTTAGAGGTTTGATAGAAAATACGAACTCAGATTATTTTATTTAAGGTGATTCTACCTTTAGTGATTATAAAAATATTAAAACTTCTTTAACTGATGAAGAAATATATAATATTTTAAAATGAGAATTAGAGTTGAAAATGTTTTTGGGTTTTTTAAAGGTAAATATAAAAGACATTCAACAAGAACTTAGAATGTTGATGGTAATATGAATTTAAAAATGTTAAAGGGTGTAATGTATATCTCACAACTAATGGGGTTGATTAATTAAATCCAATATTTTGATTGGAAAATGATAATTTGATAACTTATTTTTTAAAAATAAAAAGAAATATTTTTAAAAAAATTACCATAAACAAAAATATGAAGTTTATTTGAAACATAGTTTTAAAATATAAGTAAATTTACAACTAACAATAACATATGATAGGACAGATATAAACAATTTATCATAGATAATGATAGAATTAATAAAATAAAATTGTTTTAAAAATTTCTTTTTATTTTTCTATTAAACTTCAATGTGATAATTTCATCTCTCTTACTTATTATTGTTTATACTTTCTATTAAAAATTCTACATTACTATTTAAATTATATTTTTTTAATAACTCTCTTATAACAGTTAATATTTCTAAATCCCGTTTAGCATGTTTTTTAATTCTCTTATTGTTTTCATTATTTTTAATTTTCATTGGTTTTTCATAAAATTTAAATTCTTT